ATATATTCATTTAAACTAATGGGAACATATGGAGAGAGACCAGTTTTATATCTCACTGCTGAGCTATCCCAAATTTAATGGAACCATAGATTTTGAAGAAACAGTAATCATAACAAGAAGAATTTCAGCAATTCATCTGTCAGTTTGTGTCAAGTGTGTATTCAACAGACTTTATCCAGTTCTTAACAACAACTACCATTACCACCAGAAGGAAAAACATTAACCAAGCTCAAAGAAGCAGCATGCTCCCTAGGGCAACAGAAAAGATCCATGATAAATATGTTCTGGAGACTCCTTTATAGTGACAGCGGAAACTGTCATTGAGGCCATGATAACTGAAATCAATGTAATTATTAAAATAGACCATTCATAGTTCATAAGAACAAAGTGGAATGTTAAGTTACTATGGTTATAACCTGCACAAGACAATACCAGATGGCATTTCAACATAGATGAGAAAATTTCATGAGGCCACACCCCTAGATGAGCTATGGGTTGTCAATGGTTTCTGAGGGAGGAAAAACAGCTTTCTTCAGGAACAAGCTCCCTGATAGGTTACCTAATGGGTGTGGGGGGGTGTATACACATGTAGTATATATAAGACAATAATAATTATAGAAGAAAACAATATGAATTTGAGAGAGTAATATGGCTTGGGAAAATGGAAGGAGTTGGGGGTAAAAATTATGTAAAAATAGTATACCTATGTATGAAATTCTCAAATGATTCATGAATTAAAATAAAATCTGGATAACAGTTTAAGTTTTTGTTCTCTCTGTGTGTCTCTGTCTCTCTCTCTCTCATTTCAACCTGAACCTGAGGCCTCATTCATGGGAGTCAAGTTCTCTACCAATGAGCTACAGCCCCAGCCCAAACTCTCATTTGTTACTATACTCTTGATTGAGATATTAGTTCTTTAAGGTTAACAGTACCTGTAATTTATTGACTGTCTATTACACATTAGCCATTGGTAACAACTATCTCTCATCCTGATAAACAACGTTGCAAAATAAGAATTTCCCCTTTAAAAATCTGGGAACAGAGACTGGAGACTTGAACCAACTGGAGGAAAAGCCAAGAGAATTACATAGAGAACTAAGTATGGTCTTTTGATTTTTTTCAGCCTTTCTTTTAATTAATTATTTATTTATTTTTTATGTATTGAGTGCTCTGTCTTCATGGACACCTGCATGCTAGAAGAGGGCATCAGATCCCATTACAGATGGTTGTGAGTCACCATGTGAAGGCTGGGAATTGAACTCGGGACCAGCAGTCAGTACTCTTAACTGCTGAGTCATCTCTCCAGCCCCAAAGAATTAAGCATTGTAAAAGCCCACAAGGAAGCTGGAAAATTTCAGCAGCAGTTTGCCTAGCATGTATCAGGTCCTGTGTTCAATCTTCATCCCATTTTGTGTTTTGGAACAAAAATAGAATTGTTTTCCTACTTTAAATTTGCATATAAGTATGACTGTGTATATCAAGTCTGTAGTTAGCATTTATCTGAGAATGAAATACATTTTCTTTTAAATTTATTTTTTTAAACTATCTTTTCTCATTTTACATGCCAAATCCAGTTCCCACTTCCTCCTTTCCTCCAGTTCCTTCTACCTTCCCTCTCATCCCGCCCCCATCCATTTCTCAGAGAGTATCGGTAAGGCTACCAATGGGGAGTCAACAAAATCTAGCACATTGCTTTGAGGCAGGACCAAGGCCCTCCCCACAAATACGTTTCCTTACTTATGGAATCTGTCCTAAAATAAGAAATATAACAAAATAAGATTTTATTCTAGGCTAGTTGCATATTTACTTATCACATATAATCTATTATATGTACAGATATAGTAGATACAAAACAGGTTTGCTAAGTCTGGCATGAATAGAAAATTAATCTTAAAAGTTAAGGCATGTAATATTTATGCATCATGAGATGGAGGCAATCTCTCTGTAGTTTCGTTACAGAAAAGTTTGGCCCTGAAGTAAATATGTATTTATAAGTGACTTTGGAACTGTAAGCAGAATTTGTAAATGGCAGAATGTATAAGTGACCTTTAAATTTTCATGAATTCTGGTACTTTCAAAATTATAGACATGGTGGAATGTCTTATTGTGACTGACAGAATAATACTGCTATACTAATAATTTCCTGTCAACTGTTCTCTCCTGAAATGTCTGAACCACTTCAGCTTAGGTGTCATATTAAAATATGTGATGAGGGAAAGAAATGGATCTGTATGGCCACATTTTTATAGGAAGGGTTATAGAATGGTGCCCGAATTAGGTGCGGGCAGATGTTTGTTTGTATAGTTATAGAAAAGTGATTGTTTGAATGTTTTAACTACAGTATGTGTCTTGCATTAACGCTTTTCTGTAGGTAATGCTCAACATGTCAGATTAAAACTCAACAAAATCCTTCCTCAACTTTTCCTCCGTGCCCTTCCCTTCCTGTGTTAATCTTAGAGCAGTGGACCTCAGCTTCCCAATCCTACCAGCTTTTAACACCAGTCCTCAACCCTCCTAACGCTGCGACAATAATACAGCTTCTCAGATTGTGGTGACTCCCAACCTTAAAATTATTTTTGTTGCTACTTCATAACTGTAATTTTGTTACTGTTATGAATCCTAATGTAAATATCTGATCTGTAGGATATCTGATATGTGACCCCTGTGAAAGGCTCATTTGACCCCCAAAGGGGTCATGATCTACAGGTTGAGAACCACTGTTACAGAGTAACTGTTTTTAGATCAACTTCCTAACATCAGATTCTTGAAGACAATTTCCTGGTTGTGACATGCTGTGACTTTTGTTTTTTAAAGCACATCACAGGATATTCTCTCTTAAAAGCCTTCTTCATTTTTTTTTTTGTCTCTTGGTTTTTTTTCAGCACTACAAATTTTTCTAACGGTGTCTTTATATTACCAACCCCGGGTCTCCCTTCCCTCTATGAACTGATCTCTAGATATCAATAGTTTTAATGTTGTTGGTTCTGTCTACACAGCAAAATAACAGTGCCAAAAATGGTAGGCATTTAGGTCTAGAACACTAGAAATTGTTTTGTTTTGTTTTGTTTTTCAAGACAGGGTTTCTCTGTGTAGCCCTGGATGACCTGGAACTCAGGGGCTGGCCTCAGACTCACAGAGATCCACCTGTCTCTGCCTCCCGAATGCTGGGATTTAAGGTGGCTCTGTAATTCTGACATATATCCATGACAACAGGCATTCCCCCAAGGATCTACAACTGTCCTTGCTACTTTCTTCAAGGCAATTTCATGGTTTTGGAACTATATGTTATCACCGAGGTAATCATTCGGTACTTCTGGATTATTATAAGAAAAACTGCCACCAAATTTGGAAAAGAACAAACAGCAGCGGGGTTCTTACTGAAAGTCCTGTGCATACTTCACACTTCTATGGTACTTGTCAAAGTTCTCTTCACCCAACAGAATGTGCTGTTTTATTAAAATTATCTCCTACTTGCTACACATCACTGACAGGTTGGTGTAAAGCACTCTTCTATTTACAACCCTTTGATTATCTTTGAATTGCAAAGCATTTAAGGTGTTACTGCACTGTTAGGGATTAACTCATAGAATTCTATGTACTAGGTAAATTCACTACCACTGAACTACATCCCCAGCCCCCACTACAGCCTTGTAAGATTTGGCTAGAACTTTTGTCACATTTTCTCTTCCACTATATGATAAAGGGTGTACCCTTTGGAGCCAGACATATTTGGTTTTGAATAATGTTTAGCCATGGTAAGTAATTTAGACCCTGTAAATTGACTTTGCTGATAAAAGACCCTGCTGCTTCTGTCTGCAAGAGCTACATGAACAGTACATACTAGTCCTCTTCATACTTTAAGTGACCTGCAGGAAACAGCTGCTTTAAGATTTCAATATAGATCATTGTCAAATAAACAGTTCTTATGAATCAATGTCTAAGCTATGCCTTGAATGTCAGGTGGTTATGGATCTGTGACACTCTAAAATCACTACCTACTATGGTAGTCAATGGTCACATGTGCTACTGAGCACTAAAATACAGCAATTCCAGAGTGAGATATACTTTACCACATTCTAAGAATTATTATCACAAGAATAATGTTAAATGCCTTATTAGTAACTTTAAAAACTGCTTTATATATGCTGGTGGTGGTGGCACACGCCTTTGATCCCAGCACTCAGGAGGCAGAGGCAAGTGGATCTCTGTGAGTTCAAGGCCAGCCTAGGCCATAAGAGCCATTTCCAGGACAGGTTACAAAGCTACAGAGAAATCCTGTCTCCAAAAACAAAACAAAACAAAACAAGGAGGGAGGGAGGGAGGGAGGATGGGAGAGAGGAAGGGAGGAAGGAAGGAAGGAAGGAAGGAAGGAAGGAAGGAAAAAAATGCAGCTCTAAGGTCTTGAGGATCTTCTGTCTTTTTGTGTCTTTTTATCCTCAAACGCAGGGAATATTGTGGGCACTTACCTAGAGTGACTGAATTTAGATTCACTCTAAACTTTAGGGCATCGAATTCACTTGAATGAAATGTTTTCCCCTCATTTTCTCCTCAGTTCCTAAAGAATCATGTTTGAATTACGTTTCTTGAATTGAGCACAGAGCTGAAAAATGCACCTTTGCTTTGTTATCAAACCAATAGAACAGACCTTTATCTTCTAGAAGAACTGAGTTTTCCTAAGTTATTTTCATATAAAATAGGCTATTTGGCTAAGATTCTCAGAACTGATGAATGCCATCATACTTGAGTTCTTTTAAAACTCATGATCAACACTAAGCTGGTAACACACACTAATTTTTAAGTCATAGCAATTTAGCCAGAGGAAGAAAGACAAAACCAGAAATATCTAAAAAAGAGTATTTCTAAAAGCCAATGTTGAGAGATGTTTAGTAATATTGATTTTAATGACTATGAACCGCAAAAAGAACTGGAAATAACTTTCAAAGATTTAGTAATATCTTCAATTAATCCTTTTTTAAAAAACAAAAACCAAAACAACTCACCTCATTGCCACATTGCTGCCATCAATAACCACTGGTCTCAGATTTTCGCCATCATCTGTTACAATCTCTTGCATTGGAGACTCAGACCTCTGAGATTCCAGAGACGATGCTTCCCTCATGACACTGTTTATAGTACTAACTGTTTGATCCGCTTCACTTTTATTTCCAAGTTTGACAAGTTCTCCCAATATGTCATTGATTAAAGCATCAGTACCAAGTTTGTTCAACACAAGTTGGACCTGCTCTTCAGAATAACCTAACTTCAGTGCAAACTCCAGTTTTGTTTGGTATTCTCGAACTACGTCAGGGGGTTTCTTTACTTCCTTGGATGGAGTCTGGGACCCATCTGGTTTAAAGTCTTGCAAAATGTCACTGTGTTTGAGTAGGTGGGGCTCTAAACAGGGAGACCGACATAACTGTCTGTGAGCCTTGGTTAATAAGCACGGCTCTACTGAAAGGCTACTCAGTTGTCCTGACTCATGATCAGAATTTGTGCTTTCTTCAGAGTCACCAGAGCTCACGTTCTCTTCAGACACCTCTTTTTCTTCCTTCCCTGAACTGACTGTATCCATTGTTGGCTTCTCTGCCATAGGCCAAGGCACAGCTGCACTTATCTGTGGGTCAGTGCTCTCCATATAAAGGTGGCCAAGGTCATGCCCCAGGTGATCCTTCAGGCCCATGAAGCTGTTCCGCACACTTGATTCCACTTTGCTACTTTTCCTGTATTCTTGAATGCACAGCACCCCGTATTCCTAGAGAAAATGCAATATAGTTAATGTACCATATTTATTGTTTGAATGTCTACTTTGTATTTTGTTTGAAGCCTCTCATCACTCATAGCAAACTTGCCAAGAATCCTTTTCATGAGTCCCTCCAAGGCAAAAAAGTAAACTGAGGTTTTTACAAAGGTTATTTGTTCCCTCCCTCCCTCCCCCCCCCCCCTCTCGTATGTGTGCAGATGTGTAGGTGTGTAACAAAGAATAAGAGATCATGAATTTGAAAAGGAGGGGCCACATAAAGGGAGCTAGAGGAAGGAGAGGGAGAGAATGATGTAAATCTAGTACTCATATATGAAAATCTTTAAAAAATAAATTAATTTACACACTGAAATGAAGGGGCACATAGTCTAAAATGGCCAATAAGGAACTGAATAATCACAAAGCTAATTACATCTCTGGCCAAGCATGCTGCTGTATGCATGATACCAGTGACTGGGACACTGAGACATGAAGATGGTGTGTCTGGGATTAGTTCGGGCTACACAGTGAGTTTCAATCCAGTCTGCATTACAGAGAGACCCTGTCTCAAGAAGGAGAAAAAAAAGGCTGATTTCCTTCCATTTTGAGATAAATATAATTTTTCATTAATAATTATGACTTCATGAATACTGAGAACTGTAACAGAAGATACTTTAAGTATTATGATCCTTTATTAAGTGGCAGAGACATTGTAGTATATTTCATTTAAGAAAATTTTTTCTATATACATTTATTGAGAGCAGTGAAATAAATATTGTACATAAACTCTGACGCAAACAAGTATACTGTCATGTCAGTGTCTTGGTTTTTATGTAAAACATATTTTTGTATTGCATTAGATTGGTTAACAACACACCTGCATTTTGTTAAGAGCCTGCCTTTTTTCCATTTTCCCTGCTTAAAATGTTTTTGTTGTCATATTACTTTTCTTTAAGACCTATTGGAAATAATTTATTTCTCTACTAGGGACAGGTCAGAAAAGTAAGGTTATATTCTCTTTATACTTCATTATGAGGACTACATCAACACCAGAAGTTTATTGATTAAGACAACTCTGGTGTTCTACAATTAATTAACAAGTCAGGGGTAGCTAAGCCTAAGGTTGTCATAAAAAACCCTATTTGAATAATCTAATGAAGAAAAATGGAGAAACATTTACTTTTAAACTGAATCTGTTCAACAAAATATATATCAGAAGAAAGCTATTATATAAACATTAAAAGAAAATGCTGATATTCTGAGAAGTTTTAAAGTTTATCCAATAAACCCACTACAGGATCAAATATTTGTACACAGCGTATTGAATTTTACTAAGCATGATAAATACCAGAAAACATGCAATCTTAAAAAATACAAAATTTCTGTATTTCCTTGGGGTAGAAGTCCTACACTTTTCTATAGGATTTTTTTTTTTTAACCCGGATTTGTTCTTTGCTAGCAATTTGAATACCACTCACTGTTCTACTAATACAACACTCACTAAAGAAACACCCAGTGTTCCTAGATCCTGGATGCCCCACTGATAAAGAGCATCTGCTTCATTATGAAGCTGTGTCCATTTCAACTTTTTTCTATTAATATGGATATGCATGGCCCAATTACTCAGAATTAAGGAAGGGATTTTGAAAGTAAATCTGTACGCCCTGTGATTTATTAACTACAGTAATGTACTAACACCATAATGCAAGTAACAAATCACAACAGCATCCCAATAATGGGATAAAGTTAAAAGAAAAATCTACACCATGGCCATAGTAGAGCTCCCACCAAAAGTATCTTAAACAAGGAAAATCTATTGGAAGCTGGGCTGCCTGGCAACCAGAAGATGGTTGCTAAGCTGCACTCCTTTAACATGCCATCATGAATGCTAGCACAGTGAAAGAATAATTTGGTATGAACAAAAGCCTATAAAAGAGACTGGGACTTAAGTGCGTCTGGTTTACCCTCAGAGAACAATGCAGCTGCCAAACCAATCTGGAAGCTCCGACATCATTGTTCTGTAAACCCTACAATCTGTTCTGACTGCAGGAAGTGCATTTAATGGGAAACATTTTTGATCTCCCCTGAAAAGTTTTGGTTTTGCATAAGTGCTGTTGTGAGATAATTCAAGATAATGACTTGCTGACCAAATTGCTGAGTTGAACTAGGGAATATTATTTTAATATTGAACAGCTTTGTTGTGTTTTCGAGCTAGAAGTCCTATATTGGACATGATGAATACACAGAAAATACAGACAGTGAAAATCATTAGAATGAAAATTTCTGATTGAAGGATATATGGCTTTTCTTAATTTCACTTTTCAAAGTGACAAACCCAGATACTGTAAAGTTTTGAAACAGAAAGTCAGACCACTCTAAAACTGCATTTCAATAAATCTATGTAGTATTTGACCGGCGGTCGTTCCTGAATCTGTTCTTCTATGTACTTTGCACATGGCTATAGTGACAGGAGAGGGAGATGTGGATGTTTGGTTGCTTTATAATATTAAGTCATTTAATAGTCTTTATAGTAAAATAGTTAACAAACACTAATAATTTCAACTTGAGATAATTCATGGCATTTGTACATACTATTTGAATAATATTTTTCAATAATATACAATGTTTCTTAATGTTAAAAATAAATGGTCTAGGTTTCAAGTTAACATTTGATATAACCTAATTTGTATTGACTGAAATGGTAAGGATCTGGATTTTAAAGCTTCAGTCTGTAGAACACTTCGATCAAGTTGTGGCTAGTAAAAACTTGGCATGACTTAAGGCATGTAAAAACCCACAATTTCATACTATCTTAAAATTACTCAGTAAAACTTAAACCTTAGCCTAAGGACTTAAAAAGAGATACAAACAGCAGTAGAAGTTGCACAGCTTACAAGGAGTGAACATAAAAACTTTTACAGAATAAAGAACACCATGGGATTTACTTCTGTGCAGCCTCTTAACAATGACTAAGTTTTCAAAAGAAAAGACTTAACAGAATTGTTACTTATCATATGTAATGAATAATCTTTTTCTTAATTTCTAAACCCTGAATGGTTTAGACTTTAAGTTTTGCATTATTCAGTCAGACCCAAGCTTATGCAAGTATTCATACACCTCGACTAAATGTCCACTAGTAAGGACGGCTTTCCTCTGTTCGTGCAGACGCAGAGCCGAGGCGTCACACACAAGGTCAACCAGTTTGCACTTCCAGAGCTGCTGGAATACTCTGGGAAGAAACAGAGTCACAACACACAGTGTTTACACACTCTATCCTTCAACACAAAAGGGCTGGGCCAAAACACAACAATCTAAACGACTTTTCCAGTTTCAAAAGTCCATAGATTACCTCTAGAAATTTGCTTTTTTTCTTGATAAAGGCTATCTACTAAAATTAAATAATAGTATTTGTTGAAAAAGAATGAATTATGTTAATTTCAGAGATGCTGCTGCTAAAAACTCATTCTTCTGACAAGAAATAACTGCAGGTCCTAAAGCAGGCTTTAGGACGTAAAGGGCACGGGCCTGAAATTTACCGCATATACTCAATTCCTCTAGTGAAAAAGGACGGAAAATTCTCACGAGATCACTTGGATAACAACTCACCTCAAACCAGGTAAAGCTAGTTTTTAGCATCCTATAGAGCATTACAGTGATCAGGAATATTAGACTATAAACTTGTTACGTCAAATTATTTATTTGTAAAGTTACAATGCCATGAAAATAGGTTTGGTTGTCATCCAAATGGCTATACTCTAAGAACAATGAAAATAAAATAATGAATATGTAATAAATTCCTACTGCTGTGGTCTTTGCGTATTTAATCACCATTGTATTTGAGCGAGCACTGTTGTCTGCATCTCTCTAGCTAACAAAGGAAGGATGTCCCTTTGAACAGATTGGTTAATGTTCTGGGGCAACAGATGTCTACTGGAACTGCAGGAGACCAGCAACTGGTGGCCTGCCTATCTTCTGAAAACTTTCAATAGACTTATGCATATGTTCACACAATAGGGCATGTGGTAGAAACGAAAACCTCTCTTTAACCGTCTATGTTCTTTCTCTCCCCTACCCCCAAACTGACAGAAGAAAGTCTTTGTCTCCTCCTCACTTCCCCATTACAGAACTCTTGAAAGTAACTAGAATGGCATCTTCAATCTAATATCTGAAATTAACACACGAAAAAATAAATTCTACATGAATAATGAAATCGTTGACAAGGCAACTGAACGCTTAATCATCATCTTTAGAAGCAGCTATTGGAAACATCTATCATCAGCAGCCCATCTCTGCAAACTAGACTCTGAACACAATTGAAAATCTACTGAACCTGACCAGCATTTCACAGAAACTAGCCATGGCAGTGATGCCTTAAGAAACACAAGCATGTGACAAGATAAAAATCTAAATTTGTTGTTTAGCATGAAATTAGAACTTCCTTATAACTTGTCTAAAGTTCCAAATGAGTGTGTCTAACACCCATGGCTTGAAAGCATTCATGACGCTACAAGTAATCGTTTGTAAAATCTCCAAACATAAATATATAAAACTCAGCTTCACAGATATATTTTTGCAGAAAGAACCAGATTCTCTGGTGTACTGACACTAACACATTTGCATGTTTTCTTTTGTGGTGATACCTATCCTTCACAGAAATGAAATGATAGCCGTTACAGCAAAGTTTGACTTCCAAAAAGCAGTAAGTAGCACAGATACTTACATTAGCAGGAAAGTACAAAGACATTGGTTTCTGTGGCAGCTTCAGCAGCAACGACACAATTCTAGCTGCAGACTTCCAGGCAGGCAAGAAGAACAATGAGTGGTTGAACAGATGGGACGGCAATGTCTTTGCTTAACCTATTACCGAGTGGAACTACAGCCAATCACAGGCCAGAGAGCTCACAATTAGTCAGGCAGATGCAAGACAACCTCAGCACCCTGCGTCAGGTTCGTAGGTTTCTAAGATAAGCAAGTTGATGTCATTCTTGGGTCTGCCCCGGGCGGCATGTGTATTA